TTGAGGGTCCAAAAATGTACAAATCTATCGACAGAACTTCAGTGAGCCTTCAGCGGTCACTAAGATATTTCAATGATACGAAGTTCTCCAAGTTAAGATCTTCCTATGATCTGTCAATGATGTTTCAATGATCTGTCAATGCTGTTTAAATTATCTCAATGGCCAATACTGTTTGGCTGTCTCCGTCCTGTTGACATAGGGCCTTACCTGCCTGTGGCCTCACGGTGTTCTCCATCTCCGACATTCTCCTCATCAGGTCCGCCATGACAGCCTGCAGCAGGGCACCGCTCGAGCACATGCTCAGGTCTGGGAACGAGATGAACTGGCCCAGGTCGGTCTTGCCCTCCTCATGATCATCACCAGACGACACACGCACAAGAACGCCCAACACGAAGCAAAGGTTTACAACGGAAAACAGCATCTTCGAAATTCAACTCGAACTTATCAGCACGAAAAATCAAATTCTGGCTTGGTCAATGCTACCAACAACTATGAAATTCACTGTTACCCTGAAAATTATAATTTTGCTTCCGCCAGATTGTCGTTGACGCCCGCCGTGCCAAACTGGCACAGATATGTTGTGGAGATCCAGCCGCCTGGAGGAAACGCCCTCTAACAAGTTCAAACAATGGTTCCATTGCCTCATAGCTTTGATAACTGATGTCCACCATTATGACTGGGGTATTATAAAAGCTTTTCATTGATTGCTAAAAAAAGGGGAACTGATGCAGGCCCCAAGAGAGCCCACCCAAGCGCGATAGAGTGGACACCAGGCTATGCCATCTTTATATTTGCCCTCCTGCCAAACTGGCAACGGTGCGTTGTGGAAACCGGTCCGGTCGGCTGGTGAAAATGCACGCAGCACCACTTTCAATAACTTGGTATCCAGACCAAGTCACACAATCCTCACCTGGTAACCAACCATACCATCAGCAGCTACCCGGTATCTCTACGGCGCTCAGGGAGAGTTTCCCTCCCATGTAACTTTGGGTCCATTAGCACACGTCAGGGAATTTTTGCGGGATTAGTTTCAATAAAATTTAGCTCGCTACAGGACACTTTACTGATCTGAAAGGGCTGTAACAGCCCTGATTTAGTGATTTATGGTTCCCGTGACGTAGTGACATATGACGTAGTGCTTAGTATCCATATTTAGATCTCCAGCTTCTTAGTTCATTTACATACTCATTAGATTAGCCAATGACTGGTGAGAGCAGTCAGCGTCAGTATTAGATATTAGCTAGCCCGCTCCCTTTTGAATTAGTCGAGACCAGGACCCCAGGTTAGTGACACACACTCCTTGTAGTTCGTAGATTCCACTCCTGTAACCTAGACCATTGTACTTGCAACTCTAAGACTAGACCATTGTAACTAGACCATCGACTCGGTATTGACTTGTATATACAGCAGATAGATCATAATACAACAGCCCGTACAATCTGAATCGACCCGTCTCCGTGTGTTTTACTTGGTTAACTAGCAGATCATATAGACGCGTAACTTACGTGAGTAAAGTTAGCCCAACACCTAAAGTACACCGATCCCTAAATTCTACATTGGTTCCCACACCGGATTGTCCGACAAGTTGTTGTCCTGTGATTTGCTGCTGTACTTTTGCTAGAATTTTACGTTGCCACACACTTAGTATCGTTCGTATCTTTGACCATCTGCTGAGCGTCCCCACGTGTTCCGCATTTTCGACTAGCTTTCTCGGCCTGTTTTCCAAACTTTGCTTAGTTAGTTCCGGCTTATTTTGTGCCTTCTATGTGTTGTTGCTTTTTCGGCACCGTTCTAATTTTCTGTCCTACTATTTTGGCTTCCTAAAACTTCGTTTTCGGGTAGGCCAGCGGCGATTGCCACGAATTCTTTATCTTAGCGTCCCTAGCGTGGGTGCCCTGCTGTGTTTGATATCTTGTCACTGACTTCGCCAACTCCCACCCACATTCCGGTGCCATCTTGCCCCATCTTGTACCATATGTCCCGCTGTGACCCTGATTAGTCTTTTCCGGGACGCCTGTAAAACCTTTTGTTTTCCAAAGTTGTTTTTCCATGAGCGCCCGTTTTTCCCACGGACAAATCTTGTAGCTTCCAAAGTGTTTTTTTTCCTTTTTCGGCCTTGACTTTGCTAGGGCTGTTTGGCGTGACTGTGTCTTGACCCATTCTTCGCTTCCGTTTTTTGACTTAATTTGCCCTTTTCCGTTTCGGCTGTTTTTTTGGGCTGGTCCCTAGCGTTGTTCTATTTTTTCTTGCTATGGCCGGCTACGGAGACCCCCCTGAAGTTGGCTTTCCGGTTCTCTATCGGAACCTGATGGATGATTTTGACCCGTTGGTCTCCTTCGACCCTCCCCTCGATTTCCTCCCGCCTAGCGCACACGTCACCTCTTTGGCGCCGTGGCAAATTTCCGTCTCGTAAACGGTCGTCGCCTTTCCGAACGGTCGTCGCCTTTTTTCAGAACGGTCGTCGCCTTTCGGAGCGGTCGTCGCCATTTCCGATCGACCGAACTTCAGTTCCGAATATCCGCGACATGTTCGGGACTTCCCGGAGTTCTTAGAATGTGTGAAATCACACTTCCTGAAGATAACATCGCGACCGAAGACGGGCCAGAATTTGGCTAGGTGGATTGAAGTTGCGTGGGTGCTAGTACATGTATTATAATTATAAGTTCCGGGGGTTGAATTATCTAGGTTAGATCTAGGTTAGTGTTTGAGAAATTCTCGATTGGAACGGGAAGGGTTTGGGTAACTCTGAACTCGAATGTCTCTGGGTATTTATTTTTCTTGTATGTGAACATGTCCTCTCCCTTTTTTCTTTGTTTCCTTTTGAAATGCGAATAAACATTATTTGAAAAAAAAACCCTCTGAACTAGAACGTTTGTAGGTTTTCATACATTGCTGAATTTGAAACGGGGGCGAAAAAAACTCCACATGTATTTTTGGAACAGCCCATTGTGCGAGCTTGTAATTTATGAATGCTGCAGGATGGTCTGACTCAGAAACATTCATTCGGAAGCACCATCACACATGCAGGCATTTACTCTGACCAAGGACATTATGTCCTGACTGACTGACTCACAACTCCACCACAGCCGGGTTTACTTTGTTGTCTCAGTGCTTGCCCAGCATAGCAGGCCATTTCACACTTGTCACCAGCATGGCATTGATGTGCTACCCAGTGAATGTGTCGTATTTACATACAGTGCAGTGGTGAATGTGTCAAGTATTAACACAGCAAGGTACAAAACATAGACATTTCGGGATGAAAATAGCTTTACAAGTTTGTCAAAACTCCTGTCAAAGTAAGACATTGTCCCCCTTCTAAAACAGCAGGTCCTTTATTAATCCTACATGAATTTTACATAAACGAAAGGAATACATACCACAGGGATTGAGAAATATAGCACAGGGACGGAATCTATGTTTGTTTTGGTTGAAGATTCATTTA